CAACTACACTAATTATCCCAACTACAGTAACTACAACAATTACATCAACGTTCTCATAGTACACTAAGTGGTCACTAAATATCTCTATATTCGTGACGGTTATCATGAACCTATTACCTTATTCATGCTGACGTAGTTTATGCTCAAACTTGGGAGGTATCTCCCCTAAAAAATCCAGTCGAGTCACCTCAAATACGACAAAAAACGCGTTGCAGACTAAGAGTCTCGCTGCTTACGCAAGCAAGACTAATAATCTTCTGTTAAATTATCTATCGTGCGCCGATTAAAATTCCAATTTGTTCTGGCCATAATACCATAATAATCTGTGGAATCCCAGTGCAAAAGTATGATGTGAAATGGAGTTGTATCTATTACGAATGCACTGAGTACACGCGGTGTCAGGCCACCAAACGTGAAATCTGATAAGACTGACCTTTGGAAGGTCTTGGTTATTATGTAATAGAAGTAAATTAAATAGAAGTTCCTAGAGTTTCAGTACGTATGGTTTCTTTGGTTGCAATGTCCAGTTCGCACGATGCGGCTATATCACACAAAGGTGAGAAAAGGCGAAACTACGACATGTCCTTCAAACTCGAGGTAACAGAATACGCAGAAAGGGTATCTAACAGACGTAAGCTGGAACAGGCCTTTCAAAGCATTAGTATCTGAACAGTATGATTAGTGGATGGCTAGTGGCGTCCAAGAATTTACGGAAGCGGGAAACATGCGACCGCCACCGAGAAAAACCGTTGTAGAGTGGGTGTTGACCACTTGGACATGGCTCCCCACTGAGCTAATTACAAAGTCATTTAAGTCCTGCGCATTTAATCTAGCCGTTGATGGCTCTCAAGATTCAGAGATCCATTGTTTCAAGAAAGGCCAACCATGCGAAGTAGGAGCAGAACAGTTGAAGGCACAACTTTCCGTGCTTGATGAGCCGACTCTTCCAGACCCATTAACTCAGACATAGAAGAGGCCGGCGGTGAAATATCATGGTGCTCGACGAGGACTCGGATGTTGACATTGAGCTGTAAGAACTACCAGTACCATATACCGTTGTGGATTTGTAGACGGTTTAGACTTATCAGCGGACGCACTTGATAGTCTGCTAAAGCTCTGTCATTTAGATTATTATAATACCGTATTTAGGTTGCCATGTTACAGTTATTAGAATAAACGCCTTTTTCTTTTAAACGCCTCTTATCTTTTAAACACCCCCCCTTGGACCCTTGAAATTTAATAAACGCCTCCGGCGTTTATTAGATCATTTACGGTATGTACATTGTGACCATTAAGAAGAAAACGCATTTAGTTAATATCCAGCAAGGGGAGTGACGGTGCATGACTGAAGTTCAAGACAATCTCGAGAATTTAGCCAAAAAATAGAACAAAATGCTGGTTTTTCTCGTCTGTGGGCTCACCCTATTGTTCACACCTAACGGTAAGTTCGAAGACCATTATGTTTCCCCGGCTCGAGGCTCTTTTAGAAAACAAAATTAATCCGTGATCATCATAATAAATATTTAGGCGGTGATGTATAGCAACGAAAATATATAGGAAGTAGATTCGAAGAATTGGTAATTTCAGTCCTTCTTTGAAATTAACTTTGACAGTTTTTCTATGCAATTGCCTGCATACGAAATTTATGGCACCCCAATAGATATTTGAAACGAACGCATTGATCCGCGTTGCAGGTGCTTGTGACAGCATAAATTCCTCCCTTTCAAGCTATATAGACCATTTATTTAGTTGTTGGTTAAGTAAGATCCATGCTCAGAGAGTCATGTTTGAAGCAAGCGCGGGTTGATTATGAACTGAAAACTACATTTCAAATAATGCGGGGTCCTTCTCTGTTAAGTTTTTTTCTTGCCAAAGTTCATGAACTGGCCTTTTCAGTCATTTTTAGTATCTGTTCTGCTCGCTTTTAAACGGCATATTCGCAAAAGTTTGGTGACACCAAGTACAGTGGAACCATAATACAATGAATGGCTAAGGGACTGCCATGTAAATATGATCGCTATAAATATGTTTACTTTATATATCAAGGTTCTTTTCCATATATATTCTACTATTACTGGGGGGAAGAATATCGCTCGTTATTTATACCGCGCGACGCGCCGTAGAAAACTTCATCAATCCGTGAGTAAAATAGATATTTTGAGAATGGACCTCTAGGGCCAGAGAAATCAACGCATTCCTGGTAGTTCAGAGAAAAATGATCAGAGTTCCAAGATATCTTGATGGACGCTGTCGAGACGTTAGTTCCTATTCAACCAAGCCTTGATTCAATAAAAAAAACTAACTATTAAAACCTTTACAATTAATTTCGCTGAAGAAGTTTTTTTCTGTTCAGTCCAGTCAGTAGTTTAGAAAGTCAAGACACAATTATTGTAAATACAATATTTTCTAAACCGCACGTTCTTCATTAAAATAACTCCCTTGTATGGGAGCGAACAAAACCAGACATTATCGAATCACAAATACTGTGTAAAAAATCAACTTTAGAATAAGATTCTAATTTTAGATGGCGTGTGGGGTTGGTGTAATTTCATTAAACTTTTTTAAAATATATAAAAATGAGATATTTTTTTTGTTTTTTTTTTCCCACGATTGTTTATGCATTTGTGACCGACTTGTAGCATTCTGATTTTGCAGTTTCGGATACTATTGCACTATAAATTATTGCATGGACTCTTTCATTGCAAAGTCAGGTGCTCCCTGCTTTTCAAAGCAACATTGTGACTAGCAGGATAGGCTTCAAATTCAAGGGATCTGCTATTTATCGGGTTACGAGCTTGAGTTGAGTTAGAGTTAAGTTTGAATTGAGTTTGAGTTAAGATTGAGTTACCAAAAAGATGCCTTTTTTCTACAGAATTTTTTTTCACCGTTGATTTGAGTTTTTTTTTTTGTAATTTTTGCGTTCGAGGTACGAGAACGCAACTCCTTATTTGTATTGGGTGTTTTGTGCCTTATTGGGTGTCCCGTGCAATTAATAAGGGAAGTTACCGTTTTTGAGATTGCATTTTCGTCGTCGTCGACACACATTTGCCTCACTTTGAAGTGCTTGCTTACGTTTTGTCTCACTTTGACGTGCAAACTCCTGCATTGGGAAATGAAACTCTTCATGGGCGCATGTTACTGGAGAGCTCTGTTCACATGCATGTTCTAGAAAAGCAATATTTCGCACATAAAACCTTTTTTTAGTCGCTAGATACCCGGTATGGTCTCTTTTTAACTGATCTCTCTTCCTAGCCGATGCCAAAAGAGAATTAATTTTGTGAGGGGCATTGTGCAAAAAAATATGGAAAAAGAGAAGGGAAAAAATGGACTAATAACAGTATTGTTCTTTTTTTCCCAGGTTTTGTGTCCAGCGGTTTTAGTGAAAACAAGGGTTTGTGAGGGTTGCTCAGTCTCGCAGGCTCACAAACCCTTCTTAGGTCGATCTTAGTTTGTATTTGCCTTTCCCCACGGCTGTGTTCTGATCTTGCGGTTTCCAATTGCACTAATTGTTGCAGGGACTCCTGATCCTTCGTATTTCGTCATCCTGATCCCGCATTTTTCATTGCAGTGTGCCCTCTGTTGTTGCAAGCAACATTATTACTAGCACGGTCGGCTTTAAATTCAAGGTTTTTTGTGTCGTGGTGGCTATGGATCGAAACACTAGATATCCTGATATAGGATCATAAGATAGTGTGCTGTCATTCTCCTCAAACACGACTTCAACTCCCACGTACTCTTGGGTTGCGTTGGATTGGGAAATCCGTATTTAGATTTAATTTGAAACCCGGATTTCGGATTTTGCAATCGAACGCGAAATCCGAAAACGGATTTTACCTCCGAGAAATCCGTCCTCAGGGTGGATTCCAATTAAGAAATCCAAATCCGGATTTCATGGATTTCCGTTTTACCATTCTATTAGGAAATCCGAAAAAGGATTCGCAAAACTGTTCTCCTGAACAGCGGTCTTTTTTGCTACTTACGCGTGCGCGAGCAAGACCGCTGTTTTCAAATCCTTTTTCTGATTTCCCAGTCGAACGGAAAAAAAATGAAAATCCAAAAACAGACATCTCAGCGTTGAAATCCGTTTTCGGATTTCACGTTCGATTTCAAATCCGAAATCCGGATTTTAAAATCGAAATTCAGATTTCCCAATCGAACGAACTGTCGTGGACTCTCAGAGAAACTCGTCGCGTAGAATTGCCGGTCCATTGAGGTCAACAAATAATGTCCCGTCCGGGTGGGGGTTAGTATTTTTCTGTTTTTATCCGTGACACTTCTAAATGAAGCATACATGAGGTAAAAACAACAAAACGGTCAAGGAAAACTGGAAACAAGTTTGAAAAAATAAAAAGAGATGGCGGCCGAAACGCGGAAAATTTTTTTTGGATTTCAGAGACGTTTTCTGGAAATTTTCTTCGCGTTGGCTACCCCACATGGGTTTAGGTCAAATTCAAAGGAAAACAAAAAACCCAGTTTTTATCACATTCTTTGGTTTAAAAGACTGTGGTGGTTTTAAAGGCAGATGAGAGATGTCACGATATCAGGTGGTACCGTTCGCGTTCTGTGCTGTTTCAGTTGATTTTTAATCGCGAATGGATGATCACGGCCCTATTACAAGCCAAATACTTGAACTCGATCAATGAGTAAAATTTTAAAAAAACTTTTACCTTGGTTCACACTCGTAGCCATTGCGTTAAAACCGAAAGCATTATGAAAAAAGTTCGCCAAAAAGCACCTGTATTAATAACGGAGCCACCTTAATTTCTGCAAGCATAGCAGCAATTATCAAGCCCGAACGATGATATTACGATATGGGCGACCGTTACCACTAAAAATACAATCATGTCAACTAGTACAGACAAAACGCAAATGATCTAGTGATGAATTACGAAGTGAGTTCAAATAATAAAGAAAAAAAACATTCTTAAAATAATATAGCCTGGTTGTTTTGTGCGAAATGGTTCACCTAAACTACAAACGATTCGGACAAATGAGAAGCTGTCCACTGGTAGATGATAAAACGATACCGTCCAACAATTCCTCTTTTTAAATTGAAATTTGGTAAAAAAAAAAAAATTCCTTTGGCCCATAAATAAACAGCATTACGTCAGACCCCACATAGACTAGACAACTGTACAGTACCGCAAATGATCCCCAACCGTAAATGATCCCGAGACCGCAAATGATCCCCAAAATGGACCGCAAATGATCCTCGACCGCAAGTGATCCCCAAAGTCGACCGCAAATGATCCCGAAAGAAAAATAGGAATGACTTGGACTCAAGTTGGTGGATCATCGTGTCGATTTTATTTTTATTACAAAACGTCAGATTAAAAGCTAAATTTTACTTCTCAAATAAATCTTTGAATAAAAACTAAATGAAAAAAAAAATCATTCAAGTGTAAAAACGAAGTCGGTAGGCAACACACGACTTTTACCTCATGCTAAAAAGCTGCTTGTTCCAATGAGTTTTTTTCCGGCTCTGGCGGGTAGATTATACCTTTGAAGAAAACGATTTGACTGAGCAAATGTGATTTTTGCCGCTTATTTCATACTGAGAGGTCATGACGCGCATTTTCTAAGGTTATTGCTGTTTCTAGTCGGCATGATTTGCCCTTTGATGCAAGAGCATCAGGGGCGTAGCCAGGATTTTTGAAGGGGGGGGGGTCACAGACAGGGGCACCATCCGGGGATCGCCGGCTATATAGGGTTTATACCGCTGCTCTCCCTCGTGTATCAGCGGGCTCAGTCGTATTATCGCGGCATGAAGGCTCATATTAACTAAAGACAAGAGCCGTTGACGAAAATACTTTTCAAAAAAAACAAATTTAAAAAAAGTGGGCTTTTCAAGAATGGCTTTTTCGGCCAAGATATTGTCATGGCGTTTTCGCCACCTGAATATTGTAGGTTGTTTGCTCAAAAGAAGGCCTACCAAGGGGAGGTCACGGGCACCCCAGGACCCTCCTTAGCTACGCCCCTGAGCATTTCCTTTGACCTCTTTTGAAATGCAGTGCTCTTCATTGCCGTTAAATAAGGGTTTTAGGTTGTTCAATTTTTTTCCAAAGTGCCTCCTGGATCCGAATAATTATAAGCGGTTTTCTTTCTTGTCCATGAATGTGACGGTTTCCTACGATGTTTTGTCACACGATAACTACCGCTTACCTCGTCGCTTTTGCGTTTGTCATTACCAGGTTTAGATTCCTTGTAACTGTCACCAGCAAAGGCACAACAAAGGAATGTACATAAAAGCGTCAATATAACTATTCGCAACATGTTCATGAGCTGTAAGAAAGTTGCTATTTGGAAATAAACCGAAACCTGTGGACATTGATAAGTTCGGGGGCATTTTGACGTGACTTGTTTCGTAACAGCCACCTAAGTTACGAACAAATGTCTTGCTGTTTATCACGTAAAATTAACACTTCAGAGAAAAATCAAAATTAAATATTCTGAAAATTAATTTCACACTTTCATAGCACCGAAACGGCTCTTCTCAGAGTCTACAATAACATTGCTATGTCCATTGACAATCAAAAATCTGTTGTTTTGGCTCTACTGGACCTGTCTGCTGCTTTTGATACAGTTGATCATTCTCTTCTCCTTGCTAGACTATCTACCCGTTTTGGCATTTGTGACCAGGCACTGGACTGGTTTCGTTCATATCTATCTAATCGCACTCAGTATGTCAGAATCCAAGATGTCTCTTCTGATGTGCATGCCTTACCTTATGGTGTACCTCAGGGTTCCATGTTGGGCCCCCTGATGTATTCTTTGTACACTTCCCCCCTAGGTGATATTGCAAGATCTCATGGTCTATCTTATCACTTTTATGCTGATGATACACAGCTATATTTATCTTTTGAAACGTCATCGCCTGAGGATTTGTCAACATGTACATCTGCTCTTGAAGATTGTGTTAAAGATATTGACCTTTGGATGTTAAATAACAAGCTGAAGCTGAACAGTGGGAAGACTGAAATTATAGTTTTTTCATCCTCCTATCGCCCGCGTCCTGCGTTAAAAAACCTGGTGATTGCCCCTGACACTGTTGACTGTTCAACTACTGCTAAAAATATTGGGGTTATTTTTAATAACTCTCTATCGATGTTGCCGCACGTTACTGCTGTTTGCAAGTCTTCGTTTTTTCATTTACGCAATATTTTTAAGATTCGCAAGTTTCTTTCTTACGATACATGTAAAACTCTAATTCATGCCTTTGTTACTGCAAGGATCGACTATTGTTACTCATTGCTTTACGGTCAGCCTAAATGTATCTTGAAACGTTTACAGAGTGTCCAAAATAGTGCTGCTAGGCTTATTCATCTTACTAGTAGATATGAGCATGTTACGCCGTTGCTTATTCAACTTCATTGGCTACCAATTGAACAAAGGATAACTTTCAAAATTGCAGTAATTACATTAAAGGCGCTTCATGGTGCTGCACCTAGCTATATCACTGATCTCATCAAGCCTTATAGACCTGGTAGACTTCTTAGATCCTCCAATCAATTTTTACTTTCTACATCTAAATTTAATCTTAAAACTTATGGTGGCCGTTCTTTTACTATTGCTGCACCTTCTGTTTGGAATGCACTTCCATTCGAACTTAGATCTTGTAATTCTCTTTCTTCTTTTAAATCTAAGCTCAAGACTTGGGTTTTTAAAATTGGTTATGATGTTGTCGTATAGAATGATGATGTTTTTATAGGATGACAATGTAGTTTTGTAGTTTTGTAGGTTTAGGATTTTGTTGTTCTTTTTATTATGAAAAGCGCTTTTGGACCATTGGGAATTTTTATAGGATGACAATGTAGTTTTGTAGTTTTGTAGATTTAGGATTTTGTTGTTATTTTTATTATGTAAAGCGCTTTTGGACCATTGGGAATTAGCGCTCTATAAATATTGTATATTATTACTATTATTATTATATTAAAGCTCTTTTTATGTAGAGGGTGCCCGGCTTTGTATTCCTCAGCTTCTAAGCGTTAAAATAATAGAGTTTTTTCTGAGTTATGTCCTGCCTGTCTTAAATATTTCAGCGACGAAACATTCTTGAAAGAAAATTGAAGCAATGGACAAAGGAAGAGGTATACGGTTAATACCATATCCTTTTCAGAGTTATTCCTTTTTTTTTTTCGCCTTGTATAAATTGACCTGAGATGTAGCGTCCTCCTTCCCTTTTCCTCTAAAAGGCGAGAAAAAAGGTTTCTTTTTATAATCAGTCCTTTTTTTGTAATCAGTCCCATAAAATCCATTCCATTCCCCAAGTTTTCACGGGATCATTTGCGGTCGACTTTAGGGATCACTTTCGGTCGAGGATCATTTGCGGTCCATTTTGAGGATCATTTGCGGTACTGTACACAACTCCTTGTCTTGACTTGTCCATTTCACTTTTGTATTTTTGGTGGTTTCGGCGCCAACTAGTGTGTGTCATGCGAAACCATTTTATTTGATTTCATGCCGCACTATTTGTTTCGTCGTACCTCCAGTTCAGTCTCGATTAAATGATTCGACATTATATTGAACCATTTGCGCATGACTTGAACCTCTGTAAATGTTTGCGTGAGTTCTTACTTTAACAAACCGTTACGCAACAGAGCAGCCGATTGTTCGTTGTCAAGCTCTATCATTTAGCACATGGTATATTGATCTCTGATTATTATTTTTAAAAACAAACCGATTCTTGTTTGGCGTTATCGTTTTAACATCTACCAGTGGACAGCTTCTCATCTGACCAAATCATCTGTAGTTTAGGCGAACCATTTCACACAAATTATTTTACGAATGATCATTTCTTTATTGTTTGAGCCATTTCGTAATTCATCACTAGACCATGTGCGTTTTGTCTGTGCTATTTGACATGATTGTGTTTTTGGTAACAGCTTTCCATATTACGATTGTGACGTCAGGTGTGCGCTACGTCTGCAATGGCACTAATTCATGTACTAATTTCCACACCGAGCCTCGTTTCCGAGAAAACGCTCAGTGGTGAAATTTGCTCGCCTGGCGTAAACATGCATGAGGGCTGTTAGGTTTGTTTTCGACCGCTCTCTTGGTCCTCCCCCACTGTACTAGCCTCATGTTGTGAAACTAAAGCGTGCCTCAAATCCAGCGCTACATATCCGATATTGGAAAGAAATTGCTCTTCAAAATAATTATTCTTATTGATTTAGTTCTATTCGCGAAAATGAAGATTTATCCACAAATGACTTGGGCTTCGTTCCACGGTACGAACACTGTAAAACTACAGTGTTCCATTGTGTGGGGGTAAAGTTACGATCCTAAAATTTGTAGGTCGAAAAGTGAATAAAAGTCAATGAAACCTAAACTGCAGTTGGTTGTTGTTGTTCTTAATGCTCACACGGAGTTTCGTGAAATATGCTCAATTTCTCCCTCCATACAATGAAATAAACAAGGTAGGTTGCAAGATGAAATCTCAGCCGCCATCGTTTCCCTTACAACACGACCTTTCACAAAATTCGAACTCCAACGGTAAATAAACCGACGCTAAGTTCGTAGAAATAGGACTGCCCCTGATATAGAAACGAATGAAGCTTCCTTAGCTATCGAAAGAGATCCAGCAGACGTTTTGAAGCTGGAAGAAGAGAATCCAAACATGGCCGCTACCATGATATATGATGTATTTAACAGATCAACGCGCGGCCAAGCAAAGGAGGCTTGGGCCCTGTACAAAATCAAATCCACCCTGGGTTCCCGGGGTGGTCTTCTCAATCTTAAAATTGGGTCTGGTTGACCTGCGATTAACCCTAGAAAATGGAATCGCTCCTCAGAAGCCCTATCTGGTATCTGTTTACGTCATAGTGTGAACATTGCCTCAGAATATTTACGGTTATGGAGCACTATGTGCTCAATTTATACTTCGATAAAACGCTATTTTAGTTAGCCTAAATGAATGTTCTACTTGATACACTGAAATCTGTAATGAATATGCCAGAAACTGAAATATTTCCTGGTCATATTTAACATTAGTTTCATTGACTGAAATTTTCGCACTGATAAAGATCTATTTCTTAGTAATGAATGGACATCATTGTTGTTCTACCTTCAAAAACACTACCACCCCAGTCCATCCTTTTCCCAAAGACCAGGAAGTACACATCTTGCATTAAATGCGTATGCAACGAGTCTTTTTTCTTTTCTAGTATTTTATCTCAGAGCTGACACGCTATGAAAATCAAAGGGTTCTTCTTTCACGACTGCCAAAAAATAATGATCGACGGTTTTATTTATTTCCAGTGTCTGGTATTGAGTGTCCAGTGTGTACCAATGTCCCTGGATCAGGGGCAAGCAAATGCGACAGTGGTAAAGTTCCCAAACTTACCTGCCCCGATGGATTGGATCAGTGTATCACCTTGAAAGGGAAGATGACGAATCTTACGTCGACTCAGGACTTCGAACAAAAGAACTGTTCCAACAACGCTTCGTGTGACTCAGCTAGCGACTACAACGGTAAGAACGTAACACTAAAGAATTTCAA